AGGTGGCTCCTCCCAGCCCTTCTCGCCCCAACCCTTATCCTAACCTCTTCCTCCAAGGGGTTGAGGTTAGCATCCCCCTGTTTCGGATTCCTACACACCCAGCCATGCTCTGGCAGCCCTGTGCTCTCTTGGCCTCTTGGTGCCCACTCAGCTTCTCTCTTGGGGTCCACTTGCTCTCTCCTGTCCTCTTCCTCCTTGCTCCCCCCACTCTTCTCAAAGCCTGGTTCAGTCTGGACCCTTCCAGATGCCTCTGGCTACACTCCCCCTCATATCTACAGTAGAAACCCTTATCCTCCACCATACCTTGGAGCAGCGTTCTGCACATTTCCACCCAGGCACCACAAAACACCCAGGCCAACAGGACAGGAGCAGAACCATAGGCCTGAGGATACGCCTTAAATTAGCACTAGAGACAGAAGGTGGAGATAGGTAAGACCTCTAAACAAGGTCTTTGCGTTTCTGAGACCTTGGCTTGTAAGACAGCACAACTTACCAGTGAAGGATACAACACAACGGATGCATCTAAGGCTAAGGAATCACTGTGGGTGGCTGAGGGCCAGGGGGTGGGAATGGGGGGGGATTGGTGTAGCAAGAACATGGGAAGGACAGGGAGGTTGCTGTGAGAAGCTACGCCCATGAAGGAGTCTCTCCAGCATGGCTGCCTGAATAAGACTTGAACAAGGACAGCAGCAATAGAAATGTGTATTTGGAAATGGAGTGGGTTCCCAGGAGGCGTCAACCTACACAAAGAACCACAGGCAACTAAGGGACTCTGGGAGCAGGAGAAGCAACCTTCCCCATGGAAGAAGCCACCAGCTGGCTATCCAGTTCCAAATGGCCAGCCCTGAAAGCATACACATACAAATAACATATAGCAGTAAGCACACTGACCAGGTTGTGTTTAGGGGAATATATGTATGTCTATATACACATACACACATGCATTAGTTTATTTGGACTTTACCAACCAAGGGTCTTTGCTTATTTATAAAAGACAAAGGTATATATATATTCTTAAAAGTATACCTGGAAAGCAATATGAAACCTTTGTTTCCATGTTTTCAAAATGACCTTTCCAGTGACCCTGAAGATGTTTATGAACTTCTACGGGAATACTTTCTAGCTAGCAACTCTTAATTTAATTAAACACTAAATCATACTCATTTAATTTATTTCTTTACCCAGCACCTTTTTTTTTAAAGAAGGACTCAAAATTGATCTAAAAGTGTATCTGCCCTCCTGTTTCATGATGTGCCCATATAACTTTCCCTCAAACGATCACCTTTATTTCTCCGTGGACTGTAGGGGTGAGTCCACAAAACTATCCGCCCAAAAGGGCGGGGATAGGGAGATTAACACATGTGGGCTGTTTATGGAAAAGAAAAGTATTCTCTCGCTCTTTTTTTTGGAAGTCTGACACGCTTCTGACCTTCCAGCTTGTGTGTAAGGTCTTTCTCTGGTAAATAAATATATTATATTCCATATTACATTGACCTCCCTAGTCAGCTGGTGTCAGAAGTGATCGGAAGCCACGCCTTCACAGATTTTTCTCAAGGGAACAAACCCCGTTGTCAGTTGTTCTTGTCTGTAGTTTTCTCTTACACCTGTCCTGCCTTACTTTACCCCCATTCATTAGTGAAAAACCGACTTCTGTTTTTTCTTACTAATATCTTTTTGCATTCCCATTGTCACCACCTTGACATGGGAATTCGTTATTTCACGAGTCTCTTTCCTAGGCGACCTGTCTTGCTCGTGTCTCTGGCCTCTCTCGTATTTTCTACGTGCCGCCACGCTTCACTTCAGCGCATGCTTCAACACGGGTGATCCGTCAGCAACTCCCCACGCGCAGCACAAGTACTTTCCCACTCTGGGTTGCGTCATTCCCCGTCCAGCTCCTCTCCGGAACTCTGTCTCACTCCGCTGAGGACAACGGCTAGTCATCCCAAGACATTTCCAGCAGTTGCAAAGAGAAAGGCTGCTCGTGGCTTTCAACGGGTGCAGGCCAGGGATGACTCGGTCTAAACCCGTGAGAGGGTCAGCACAGCACCTGCTTTTCTAGCTCCACATATCAACCGCACCAAGTCATCTGTGGCTTTCGATTGTGTGACGAAGTTAAAGGAACCGAGATCTTTAGCTCTTCTTCAAAAGAGCCGGAATGTGACCTGTTGAGCGGTAACCGTCTCAAAGGGAAGTTGACACTAAGTCCCTGGAACGAGAGAATGTCACCTTACTTGGCAAAAAGAGATTTCGCAGATGTAATCAAGGTGTCCGAGTGAATCCAAATCCAACTCCAGTCCCAGCAAGATGCGCAGAGGAAAGACCCAAAAGGGGAAAACACACAGAGAGCACCGAGGCCAGAGTACAGATTGGAGCCACGCAGCCTCGGAGAGTCGCAGACTGAAGGAGATGAATGGACACAAGCAAAAAATAAAATAAAATAAAATAAAATAAAAGGATGTGGCCAAAAGCCAAAGAAGAGGAAGGCAGCTCGGTCACCAGAAGCTGTGAGAGGAGAGGAGGAAGTGTCTATCTTAGAACCTGTATACAGCATTGACCTTTAGATGCCAAGAATTGAGACTTCTGTGTTCAGAACTGTGAGAGGACATTGTTGTTATCTGAGATGCTAACTTAGGTGTCATTGTTACGAAGGACTCAGGGGACTGGCATACCTGGTTAGTACAGTGCCTTGCACACAGCTGCTTTACAAATACTTTGTGTCTATGAAGAAAACAGTCTTGCTTCTTTGTAGAAGTTTGACTATGGTTCCTTACAGAACTTAAATTGGCGTTCCTTTACTGCAATATAACTTCTTTGAATGTCAGAGTATTCTGACGTTGACAGTTGTGAAACTCCTAGACAAAGCATTCTTGCGTCCTCCTAAGCAGTCACTAATTTATCTTAAATACATTCCATAAAGATAGGCTGTAATGGACACTTAAAATGGTCTATTAAGTGAATTCCCAATAAAATGCAACGTTTCAGTTTAGAAAGTGGTTCGGGTTAATGTAGCTTGTAGCAACATCAGCTTTAATCTCTAGATGGCACTATGTTATAACGGATCAGACTGAGATCTGATTACAATTTTCATATAACATGCTGGGAACGAAGAACGCCGTGTGGCAAAATAAAGATTCCAGGAATTAGGTACACTTATGGTGAAAGTTTTATTTCGCTAAATACGAGTAGGTGCCTAGTTTTCACATGACTGAAGAACAGAGAAGACAACAGAGAAACAGTGTCTCTCAAATATTTCAGCCCATAGTGAGGAGTACATCTGTCAAATTTGTTTTTGAATCATCGCTCCGATATGTTGTTGGAGAGTGTACAAAAGCAAATGTACTGTATCCAGGATCTAGGACAAGATTGCACATGTAACTTGTGACTTTATCTCTGATGGTCATGAGTAAAGACTGGTGATCCACTGTTCCTCAGACAGAAACAATACCGCAAGTTTCTTCTTGATCTTCATTAGTCAAATTCCAGTTTTAGTCTTGGCAGAGCAGAGGCAAAACTGCTTGTGTTATCCCTTCCGGAACGCACCTTGCATTTTTTTAAACATCCTTGTCCTCTGTTAGTTAGCTTTTTGCCTTATGTCCCCAGTGATTTCCAGGCATCTGAAAATTTCTTTTAAGTTCTCAAAGACCTCAGTAATTGGGTTGCTTCCCGTCTGCCCACGTGGCAAACTCTGTTAGCCAACCAATAGCCCATATGCCATGCTTCACTGTCACAGCGTTTTGAGTTGTTCCTTGAGTACATTTTCATCTACTGTTTTGTATTTTAATTGTTTGCCTATAGATTTTTGTATTCTTCCTAGAATGCCACATGCTTGTATGTACAGAAGAGTTTCTGACCTGCTTACCTTCATGTGTATGATATTTCCTTAGTAACTGTTTACTGGATTAGATGGATTTGGTGCCACAGGTCATAGTCTAATGCAAATTCTCAAAAAACTTCTGCGTTAGTAAACATGTAAATATGTTCTTGACGTTTAAATAGCCTCAAGCATCTGAATGTATGATCTGAAGTGAAACATGAGTTTTCAAGAATAAGGATTAGTACATACATATACTTTTTTTTTGGACAGCCACTATTGAGGCATTGGTAACCATTTACTTTTAATGTTTTCACTGTCTACATACAAATGGGAAAAAAAACAATATCCTAATCTCAACTCTTTAGCTTTTCCTTCTCCTTCATACTACAATCACCAGACAGCTCCTTTTTCTCTCTGACTTTCTTTAGGGTGACGTCAGAGGCCTTACACAGTAGCCCAAACTGAAATGGATCTGACTGGATAACGAGGGTGGCCTCCATCGCACGGCAGTCCCGTGCCTCAGCCTTCTGAGTGTTAGGTCACAGGTAGGCGCCACTACAGGCCGACGCTCGGCAGTTCTGGCTGGAGCAGTATTTCACTCCCAGAGAAAAGCCGTCTGCGTTCCTAAACTGCAGCACACACGTTAGAGAACACCTACTGCCCTCTCTCTGTTCACCTCTTCGTCTCTCTTGCCAGGGCTTGTACTTTGCAAGGACAGGAGCCTCGGCAATCCTTCGTCACCTTTTATGACAATGTGTGCACGGTACCCACGTGGTAAGCACCTACCAATGAAGTTGAACGGAAACTTTTCAGTAAAAGGGAAGCAACTGCATTTCGCGTTGCTAGCATACTGGGATGTCTACTGCCTGTTAATGCTCCACGGCATATTTAAAACAAAAAACACGCATTAGTATTATTTATTATTAATTTTATTAATTATTTATTATTAATAAAGGTACAGTGCTGCTTGAAGATTCATTATGCAAAAAACAACAACAGTAGAGCAGTGGCCAAGATAAATACAGTAACCTGTCGCCTAAGGAGCCTCCATTACAGAGAGGTGAAGACGGCAAATCAAGAGATAAATACGCAACAAAATAAGCAAATATATAAGCAGAAGATATGCAAAAGTAGCGAAACATAGCAATATATATTATTGCATGTATACAACAAATAAGGCTTTTGAAGGCTCTGGCGGCCTATACACTAAATTTGGAGTGAGATGGAGAAGATTAACAGGGCCACTGCCCAAGAATGACATGCAGATGTGTGAAGACTTACCCATTTTTAAGTCTTTTATGACACGCACACATATATACACGCACAAGCACACACACATACACAAAAGCAGAAGACCAATATGATAAGGGTTCCAGGTAGGCTTTGAGGAGATGAAATTGACATGTGATCTGAATGAAGAGGATCACCAATCTATCCCTGAGGCTAGACCTTCCCTGTAGAGGGCAATGACATAAAGTTATGAAGCAGAAGTTTGGCTGGTGTGTTTCAAGAAACTGAGTAAGGCTAACGTGAGTGAGTGACAGAAACTAGCTGGTGTTGGCCGTTTGGCTGCAGAAGAGACTTGGTTTAGATAGTTAAGGACCTTGTAATACCTGGCAAGGACTTGGATGTTATTGAAGTTAGAAAGTCCTTGTCCTGGAGTAACAGTGATGGGGGGAAATACGAGGGGTCAGTTGTAGTTAGTATCTGAGTTCCGGCTTCCAGAGTGTGCTGGTGGAAATCGTATAAAGAACAAAGAGTCGATACAAGGATGATTCTGAGGATGTTCATTGTCCCTTGAGTTGACTAAGAAATGAGAGTCCCAAAGCAGACATGGACACAGGGAGGCTTTCCTCTTAAGATGACAAGGGTTTCAGCAAGTGTGCATGCTGGTAGAAATGGTGGCAGAAACCCTGGGCTGTGTGTTGACTGGGTGAGCGGGATGTGGTGCCACACGAGACCTTCCTCAGAAAGGTCTCCCTGTGCTCCAGGCATAAACCATCAAGAGTTATGGATCTAGAAAGGGATAGATTTCGTTGAGTATGTGCCCAGTACTGGCATAGTCCTGTACTCAGACCTTTATGCCAGGACAGCCAGCTCCCTAATAATGGCATGGAGACTTATTATTAATTATAAAAGCTTAACTGATAACTCAGGCTTGTTACTAACCAGCTCTTACAACCTAAATTAACCCATTTTTATCAATCTACTTTTTGTCTTGTGGCTGTATTACCTTTACTTTGTACTGTCCATACTGCTTCCTCTCCTGGAAGGCAACTCTCCCTGTCTTCTTCAGTGTCCTGTGTGCTTGAAAATCCTGCCTGGCCATTGGCCATGCAGCTTTTATTAAATCAATCATAATGACACATCTTCATAGGGTACAAAAAGTTTACTCCACAGCATATATCCTATTGCTGAAGATAGCATTTTTTGAGAGTCACAGGCCATAGAGAAATCAAGCTATTCCCATTGGATAGTTTTCACGCTACCAAAACATGCTGTGTACTCCAGTGAAGGGAAAAGAAAACAGTCAACAATAGTATTCAGTTGTGAACCCGGCAAGCTACAATAACCATGGGTCTGGCAAGACATGCTCATTGGAGCAATTGTGGCACAGATGCTTTGGGAGTAACCAACTGCTTAGGTTTAAGGACCACTGCACAGGACAGAACTCATTCTTTCTATTGTTAGTGGTCCCAGAACCCATGACCAGTAGGCCATAGGTCCTCAGGGAGAACTTATTGCTACTGTTCTGCTGATTGGACACAGCAGTGAATTGTTCTCTTAATGCGTACCATTATATTTATAAATTAACACATCTCTCAACTGCAGTAGATGGTAATCAATACAGAGATTCCCTACCTGGTCAAAATTCAGAAATGAACAAGCTAGTGTTCAGTCCCAAATGGGACACATATATCCCATCTCCCATCCCTTGACACTCAGGAATCATTGTGGAAAATGGGGGCAGAAGCACCTTAAGAGCCAGAGGTAGTGGGTAGTGGATGTTTACACTAAAACACAGTTTTCTAAATGTGACAGGGTCACTGGCCATACGACATCATAGTGACGGTGACTGCTTACACAAGACATGAGCTAGATCAAGGCAGGCCAAGTTCCAGTATGGAGAGGGGAGGACTAATGATATCCCATCTCTATCTGAGGAGCTACTGACAACTGATGAATGCTTGGGGAGGGACAGGCCTTTTTCTTTAGATGCAGCCCCAGATAGGCTGGCCATGATCTAGCGGATGAGCTTATATGCACATACCAGCAGTGCTGAGTGGACTCAGGGGGGAGGGGGAGGAAGGTACATGAAGTTGGAAAGGAAAAGCAGAGGTTAGGTTTGTTCAAATTACATTATATCCATGCATGGAATTATCAAGCAATATAAATATTTGCAGCAAATTGTGGATATGAAGCTGGGAGCAAGTGATATTTTCTTTGATTTGCTTTTGTGTCGTCAGTGAATCAGCAAATCTGTCACTGTGTGCTATTTCAGGAGACCGCAGGAAGATGAAAAGCAGTCACTGCCTGGAATCAAAAAGACTGGGAATTGAACTCTGAGGCCTCCCCTTAGTAGCTGTACAGTTCTGAAGAAATTAGCTAAATCACCGAGTGTCACTTAGAAGAAAGGAAAAAGAAATCATTATTTATGAGTTAGGCAGTTATACACTTGTGACAAAAGTTTACACAAACTTTTCCTTAATCTTTATAATATATATTTGAAACAAGTATACAGTAAAGTGTTACACATGTCCTATGTTATAATATTTCCCATCCTTACTTGGCTTATTCTTTTTATAGTATACTACTCTCTCTTTAAAGACTTTAGTATTATTTTTTTCTACGAAAGTCTATACCCATTCTGGACCCGGCTTTCCAGCTTCAGGAAAATGTTGCAAAGTCTTTGCCTCTGCAGACTCCTTCTGCGTCTCTGCTTAGCACATGGTGCTGGAACCAGACTCTGCCAGACTCAGTCTGTTAGCTTGGAGTCATGTTTACCTACCCCAGTTATGGGAAGCTGCTGGGCCAAGCAGCAGCAGGCGTTTCTACCTGGTTTCCTGTTGAGTAGCGTGCCAGCTGCTCATAGGCCCTACACTTGAATGTATGTGTCTCCACATTGGATGACAAATGTGATAGGTTTTCTTTCGACCACCAGCTCCCGAATAATGGCATTAAGACTTTATTAATTACGAGAGCTTGGCCTTAGCTTAGGCTTGTCCCCAATTAGCTCTTAAATTAACCCATTTATATTATCTATGCTCTGTCACGTGGCTCGTTAGTTCTTTAGTACAGTACCTCTGACTTCTTCTGCATCTTGCTGGTAAATCAATCCTCTGTGCCCCCAGAGTCTTCACTGAGTTCCCATCTCTCTCCAGAAATCCTGTGTTCTCCTCCCTAGCTATTGGCCACCCAGCTCTTCATTAAACCAATCAGGAGGTGCCTTAGGCAGGTTAGTTAAAACAGCAACACATCTTCACACAGTGTGATCAGATATCCCATAACAGTAAAGTGGACTTGAAAGAACTGTAAAAATCTTGGCGAATGTTATGCATGCAAGTATAGCCATAGTGAAACACTGCCTGGAGAGGCCACCCCTAGGACCCATGCTTTTAAATACCAACACTAAATTCGCTCATTGATAAAATCCAGGGGCCTGCCAGGCCTTGTAAGGAATGCCTGAGACTATCTAGAACAGCTCTAGGTTCCAAGTGTGTGTCACTGGCAGGCAGAACGGCCTTTGACATGCATGCTTTGTGACAGTCGTGGGGCCTGCATGGCTTTGTGCTAGGACCTCGTCATACATGTTGCGGGTGTATTGCTTGGTGTTCTTGCTGAACTGCTAGCAGTGGGCGTGTGTGCGTCTCTGACTCTCTACTCCTTCTTCCTATTGGTTTGCCTCTCCAGCCTTGATATGGGGGAGGATGTATTATAGGAGAGAAGAATAAATCTAAAAAATTATGCTCTAGTATAGAAGCCTTGCCTTATCCCTGGCATTACAGTACAGCAGTGCCTCTTATCCCTGGCTTCATTTTATGTTGTCTTAACAACCCATGGTCAACAGTTAGAAAGTCCCAGGAATAAATAATCCATAGCTTTTGAATTATCTCCAATTCTGAGTAGGGTGACTAATTCTGGCACCATTCTGTTCTGTCTTGCCCTGCTTATAGGCTTTTGTCCATTCTTACCCGGCATCTAAATCTTGGCCATCTCGTGGCATTATCACCAGATCACTCTCCTTCTTGATGTTGCTCCTCTCTCTAACTCCCTCCGCCACCACCCCCTCAGTGGTCTTTTGGTCTTGCTTATTTCATTCATGAAGAAACTGAAGTCAGGACTGGGGATGTAGCTCAGTCACAGAGTTGCCCAGCACTTGGGGAGCCCTGGATTTGATCTCCAGGGGCACATTTTACCAGATTAGTGGTCCGTGTCTGTAACCCCGCACTCAGGAGGTAGAGGGAGGAGTTCTGAAGTTCAAGCTCAACCTGAGCCATCTATAAAGAAACAGACACACACACTCACACACACACATACTCACATACTCACACACACACATACTGACTCACACACTCACACATGCGCACGCACACACACACACACACACACACACACACACACACACACACGATGAAATCCATCACAGAGAGTCTGGAAGATCCTAGAGTTCTAATACTGAGTCTATGATAAAGGGCTTGAGAGAGACCAAGACTGAAACAGACACGGAGAGACACACAGAGAAAGAGAGACAGAGAGACAGGGACACAGAAAGACAAAGACAGAGAGACTAAGGAAGAATTCTCATAGAGATGTAGTTCCTCTTTTCTTTCGATGCCAGAGCGATGTGGGGAAGAAGCCTAGAGCAAGACCTCTTGATTCAGCTCTGTGATTTTCCCGCTGGACTGACTGTCCAGAGTTCTCACAAAAGTTTTGGTTCTCCTTCCCTCTGTTTCCAACCCTACCTCTCCATCCTTGCTGCCCTTACTCCTTGTCACAGGCCGTTTAGTATGGGTGAACCCGGTCCCACTTCCCCACAAACGGGGCCAGGCTCATTTCCTTCCTCCTGGATGTCTTCTCCCGTCCCTATCCCTTCATATGTGCCGTGTTTATCCTGGCTGGCCGGCCCTGCCTTTGCACACCCCTCCTGTCTCTGTACTTGCTCCGCTGTCCATCTTTCAGTGCCCATCAAACAGATGATGATGACGACTAATCTCGGCTGTCAGCTTGGCACTCCTGGGAAGAGAGACAATGGCCCCGTGGACTTGTCCATAGGGAGTTTTCTGGTTTG